CCGTCTAAAAAACCAGCAGAAGATTGCAGTCTACGATAACCATCATAGCGTTTTCCAAATTGGACATTAGGTTTTCGAATGTGTTTAACAGTCGTCGGTAACGGGAATGTTTTATTTTTAATTAGGGGATGAATTTTGTCTGAAAAGTGGGATACCCAGTGCGAATAGTAGGCAAACATACTGATGATTCGTCGAAGGGATTTCGCATCCGTCGAAGGGGGCATATCGCGTAACGATTTCATTCGGTCGGGGTCCGGTTTGATTACCCCTGGGATATGCGGTAGCCGAGATCGATTTCTTTAGCGGGCGTGACCGTTTTATCAGTGTTCAATGTCATGCTGTGCTTAGTGACGGTCTTCAGAAATCGTTCAAGATTCCGGTCGTGGTCTTCCATAGTCACCCCACACACGGTGACGTTGTCGACGTAGGCGACAGTATCTTTCAAGTTGCTAGAATTTCATCGGTGGTGCGTTGAAAACACGCAACGCCATCGGTAACGCCGAAGGGTATTCGGCACAACTGGTGTAGCCGGCCGCCTGCTTCAAAGGCGGTATATGGTCTCGTGATGTGCGATTGGGATCTGATGATATGCACTTTTCAGACCCAGTGTACTGTATATAGCGTAGCGGGAAATTCGTTTAACCATTTTGTCAGTTCTGGATAGCGGATAGGCATCTAGCTGTGTGAAGCGATTGATTGTCTGACTGTAATCCACGACCATCCTCTTATGATTAGAATTTCTGGTTACAAGGACTTGGGCTCTCCAGGGGGAATTAGATGGCGTAATGATACCGTCCGCCATGAAGCGCTGTATTTCTGCTTGGATAAAACGCTCGTCCTCCGTAGAATGCCTTCGAGACTTAGTAACGATGGGTTTACAATTTGGAGTGAGGTGCGTAAACAACAGTGGTGATTGAATTTTAGCAGCGGCGAGTCCGTATTACATGAAAGTACCACGATCACCGAATGGTATTTTCACCTTTTCGTGTTGACCGAGAAAGTCGTGACCAAGAAGGACGTCAGCGCACAGGTTACGCATTACAGAAAGTCTAATGTTATTGTATTGAGCTCCACGATAACGAATTGTTACGCTACAGTAACCGATCACATCACACGACAGGGATGTGGATGCCATGGCAATTCGAGTCGCATCGTTGAATCTCCAACCTGTGAGGGTTGATAACTGTCTGGGAGATGTAACTATTAGAACTGCCAGTGTCGACTAAGGCATGCAACTCAATGTCATTGACACAAATGTTAGTTGTAGCATGCGATAATCAGGTGGGAGCAGAGGCCGTTAAAGCGGAAGATATAAAGGGTTCAATGGCCAAAATAACAACCCGATTGGTTGATGTTGATAGGCAAGCACGTTTAAAATGTTTCGTTTTCCCACACGCTTTGCAAGTAGCGTCTCTGGCAGGACACTTTGTTCGTGGATGCTTTGAGTAGTCACAAAAGTAGCACGTTTCTTTAGACGCAGCGGATAGAATCATCTCGGATTCAACCATCACACTAGGAACAGGTGCAGGCGACGATGTCGAAGCTAATGAGGCACAAGGCAGATTTTCGGAGCCATCTGACTGAGACTGTTGGTGAGCATATTCTAACGACGTCGCCATGTCGTACGCGGTTTGAAAGTTGAGGGACACCTACTCTAAAAGTCGCGTTCGAATGTTATTGGACAGTAATCCGGTAATAAAAGCGACACGCATAGCTTCATTACGGTATTTTTCGGCCGATACAGAATGAAAGTCACAGTCCTTTGAGAGTTTTTTCTTTCGGACGAACTGATCCACGTTCTGGCCACATTCTTGTTTACAGGTTGCAAGGTGTCGAGCGAAAATTACATTCCTAGGGCTTGCATAAAGATTGAAGTATAGATATGGCGTCATCGAAGGTATAATCTGATACGTGTTCATAGACAGTCGGCGATAAGAGGTTAATAAATATGTCTAGCTTGTCTGGATCTTCAGCCTGGACGCGTTTCAAGAAGGCGTTAAACGTTCGAAGCCAATAGGTCCAAGGTTTCGAAGCGTCAGAAGCGTTCGCATCCGTGTCGAATTTTTCGGGACGGAGGTAACAGTCCATCGATTATTAGACGAGTAAATCGTTTCGGACGACAACAAGCGAGTACGGTCGAGATTAGAGAGAAAACGCGCAAACAAGAACAATACGCTTTGATCGTCTATTAATATCAGTACATGGGCTGAAAAATAAAAGGAACGACGTGATTAACAGCATACGGAAACAACAAATAACAAACAACAGACCGCTCCTCCCTTAGTTTCTCCCTAAATTCTAATCTGGGTCCTATTTCTGCTTGGGGCTATCGCAATCGTGTTCTTTTCAATACCGGTAATACTTCTCTTATGTCCATTTCTCCTAAGCACGCATCTTTCTCCCCTTCCTTGACTTTTAACTCCAACGTTCTCCGTTCCGCAGAATCATGCACCCTATTGGGTCTTTCTTTCTTCTCTTTCATGGTCACCTTATACATATCTACTTGTCTCCCTCGAACCGCGTAG